AGGGAGTAGGGTTTAGGGTTTAGGGTTTAGGGTTTAGGGTTGTACCTTGGACCCTGAAGGTTGTACCCTGGAGTTTTGGGGTCTTCGGGGTACGAGTCCTCATCCCTTGAGTAGACCCTATAAACCCTCTAAGCCCTACAAGCGCCCTCTGAACCCCAGCAAAGCCCTACCTACACTGTATGAGCCCAATAAGCCCTTAACACCCATAAGCCCTCTTAACCCTAAACCCTAAAGCCTAAACCCTTATCCCTAAACCCTAAACCCTAAACCCGAAACCCGAAACCCTAAACCCTAAACCCTAAGCAACCCTCTCTCTGCTCCAGGTTTAAACCCTACGCGCCCTCCATCTAAGCCCTATAAGCCCTCGAAGCCCTGCAAGCCAGCCCTCTCGAATCGAAAGGCACCATAAACCCCACAAAAAAGCCTCCAAAAACCACATTCTTTCAGGCTCTTCTTGGAAGGAGTTAGAACCAAGAAACCCCAAACCCCATGATCCTAACCCCTAAACCCCCAAACCCTCAACTCTGAACGGGCAGCCCCTGACCCCAAGCCCTGAGCCTCCTCGGGAAGGAAAGTGCGAGATACAAAACCTGAACCCTTTGCACTCGCCTAAACTCCTTGCAGGCCCTAGAGTCCCTAGACCCCAAAACCCGCCCCAAAAAAAAAAAAAATATCTGAGGCCCCGTATCATCATGGGATCCTCCAGAAGGGGCCATTGTCTCGGCAATCCAAACCCTAAACCCTAAACCCGAAACCCGAAACCCTAAACCCTAACCCTAAACCCTAGCCCTAAACCCTAGACCCACAAGAGAGTGGCGCTCAAAGAATGTTGCCGGCCTCAGTGTGGCCGGGCGGTAGAGTCCGGCCTGGTCAGAGTCCACCGAGTCCCGGTAGCCTGCGGCTTTTGGGTGGTTCAGGGTTTAGAGTTTAGGGCTTTAAAACCCGAAAATTTAGGATTTAGGGTTTAGGGTTTAGGCTTTAGGGTTCGGGCGGGGGGGGGGAGGGGTTTAGGGTTCAGGGTTTGGCGGGGTTTGAGGTTTAGGGTTCTTAATTTGACTTTTTCAAGCCCAAAACCCTAAACCCTAAACCCTAAACCCTAAACCCCTAAACCCCTAAGCCCTAAACCCTAAAGCCCTAAACCCTGGTCTTGACTTCCCCGCTTGTTGAGAGCCCTCTGAATCCCCCCCCCAAGCCCCCCTAAACCTTAACCCTAAAACCCCAAACCCCTAAAACCCCAAAACCCTAAAACCCTAAAAACCCTAAACCCCTAAAACCCTCAAGCCCTAAAACCCTAAAACCCTAGACCCTTTCGTCAAAACCGGTGCCTGCGCGGGAGCGATTTCTCTCCTCCTCCTCGGCCAGCAGCGCCCGCTGCTCATCCAGCGCGCGGCGGAGCCTCTGCCGTTTCGACGCTTGGTTGATCCTCGGAGCGGGTCGAGGGTTCACAGGGTCATAGGGTTTGGGGGTTCACAGGGTTTAGGTTTTTTTATTTTGTTTTGTGTTTCTTTTTTTTTTTTTTTTTTTGGGGGGGGGGGGGGGTTAGGGTCTAGCGTCTAGGGTCTGGGGTCTAGGGTCTAGGGTCTAGGGTTTAGGGCTTAGGGTTTATAGTTTAGGGTTTAGGGTTTATATTTTAGGGTTTAGGGTTTAGGGGTGGTTAGGGTTTACAGGGTTTGTAGGGGTTAGAGGGTCTATAGGGTTTGTAGGTTTATGGGGTTCCTAGAGCTTGTACTTCAGGATCGCCGAAGGTGCGCGTTGCCTTGCTTGTTGCTTAGGGTCACGGCCAGGCCTTTCGAGAGCTGATCGGTTTATAGGGCTTAGGGTAAACCCTAAAACCTTAACCCTAAACCCTAAACCCTATACCCTAAGCCCGTTTAGGGCTTAGGGTTTAGGGATATTCGGTTCCATCGAACGTCTTACAGGGATTCATCGGGCTTCTGGCTGTGATTGGCTGGCTTCAGGCAAGCTGCTGTTGTTCTTCAGGGTTTCGGTCAAAATCACCTGAACCCTGAACCCTAAACCCTAAACCCTAAACCCTAAACCCTAAACCCTAAACCCTAACCCTAAACCCTAAACCCTAAGTAGAGCTTTTTCGCGCCGTGCTGGGAGTGATCCTCTCCCCCCAAGAAGCCTCTGAAAGCCCCCAAATGCCCGCACTGCGAGCCCTCTGAAGACAGTCATCCCAAGACCTCCCAAGATGTCCCCCCCCCCCGAAAAAAAAAACTCTGAGAAACTTCAGATGGTAAAAAGCCGTAAACCCTAAAGCCTAAACCCTCAACCCTCAACCCTCAACCCTAAACCCTAGCCCTATACCCTAACCCTAAACCCGAAACCCTAAACCCGAAACCCTAAACCCTAAACCCTAAACCCTCGCCCTAAACCCTAAACCTCAGAACCACCCTCTACTGGTTGCAGCTCCAGGCTCTCCGTGTCCAGCTCCTGCCCGCGCGTCTTTGCGGCCAGGACCCGCTGCCGGGTCGCCTTCTTAAGGGGTATAAGGAGGGTTTAGGGTTTAGGGTTTAGGGTTTAGGGTTTAGGGTTTAGGGTTTAGGGTTTAGGGTTTAGGGTGTAGGGCTTAGGGCTTGGGGCTTAGGGTTTAGGGTTCTTCCCCTATACAAACCCTATAGAACCCTCCATATATATATATATATATATATATATATATATACCTTACATATATCTAGTCCCTAGAGACCTAAGCAGCACCTAAGTAACAGCCCAAAGAACCCCTGAGGTCCCTTAGAAGGGCTTACAAGGGTTTCGTTTTGGGGATGTTCCCCTTTTTTCGGTTTAGGGTTTAGGGTTTAGGGTTTAGGGTTTAGGGTTTAGGGTTTAGGGTTTAGGGTTTAGGGTTTAGGGTTTAGGGTTTAGGGTTTAGGGTTTAGGGTTATTACAGTACCTGGTCTATGGAGGGGAACACCCCAAGTCCCTCCTTGAGCCCCCTGAGCCCCCTTGAGGCCTCGATCTCCACCTGGAGGGCCTCTTCTGTCAGCGCCTCCATCTTCCCACGATCCGGTTGGCTTCGAACCTACGAAAAGTCTGGCGCCTGTGTTGCTGACGAAGGAGGGCCCTTGGGTCTTTTTTTGGGGTTTGGGGTTTTGGGGTTTGGGGTTTGGGGTTTGGGGTTTGGGGTTTAGGGTTTGGGGTTTAGGGTTTAGGGTTTCGGGTTAGGGTTGAGGTTTGCAGGGATCCATGTGGGGACCGTTGAAGGATTTACATGTAGGCTGTAGAGAAGTTGGGGTTTGCAAACGTCAGGGGTTGAGCGTTTCAGGGTTCATGTTTAAGGCCGAGGACCCGAAGAGAGGGCTCAGGGTTTAGGACTTCTCGGGGGTTTCGGGTTGAGGCTGCGGGTTGCGAACCTTCAACACCTACGACGCTTCCCTTGCCTGAGCCCTCGGCAAGCAGGACACGCATCAAGACTGCTGAAGTTGAAGCTCTAACACTTCGGTGTTCGGCCGCAGGGTTCAAGGTTGTAGTTGCTGAAAAACCACAAACCCCAAGCCAATTCCTAAAAAAACAACCCTAAACCGTAAACCACCTCGACAACAGCCTAACCAGCGACAGCAAACCCAAAACCCTTAAATCCTCAAACCCTTACCCTAAGAAGCCCAAACCTTAAAAACCCTTAACCCCGAGAACCTTCATCCGCAATTATAGGGCCCCTTAGGGGCCCAGCTGTTTCTGCTAGGTCCAGCCACCATCGTGTTGGGCGTATCTGAAAAATGCCACTTCAGGGGGTCTCATGAACTGAGAGTGCACATTCCAAGCGACGTTGCGGGCAGTTTATCTCAATGTTTCCTCATACTCCCCACTCTCCCTAAGGCTTCCGAAGTTTCCCTAAGCCTGCCTGACCCTTAAGAACCCCATAGTTTTTGTGTTGGAGCCAAGACGTGCCGGTCATGTGCCGCCGGACGTAGGGTGCTTATTGTTTAAGTTACTCTTAGGGTCAAGGGTTCAGGGCCCCTAAACCCTAAGTCTTTCAGCATTCAACCCTAAACCCTCCAACCCCAAGCCCTCCAGCCTTCAACCCTAACGCACGCAAACACCAAGCCCTTGAGCCTGAAGTCCGAAAATCTCACTGTGAACCCTCCACCCTCTCTGCAAAACGATGAAACCCTAAACCCTAAACCCTAAACCCTAAACCCTAAAGCCTAAGCCCTAAAGCGCCGCCGCCTGGGCCCTCGCGCACGAGGTCGCTTTGTGGAGGGCGCGGGGCATGGCAGCCTGTTCCCTGCGCGCTGCTGGACAAGTCTAGCTGGGGTTTAGGGTTTAGGGTTTAGGGTTTAGGGTTTAGGGTTTAGGGCTTAGGGCTTAGGGCTCAGGGCTTATGGCAGCCTCTCTCTCTTCCCAACATTCAGAGCCCACCCCAAAGCAGAGATCCTCAGCTACCGGTTGCTTCCCTTATATACCCTATACAACCCTTAGGGTTTAGGGTTTAGGGTTTAGGGTTTAGGGTTTAGGGTTTAGGGTTTAGGGGTAAGGGTTTAGGGGTAAGGGAACATGTAACTTAATGTACAACCCCCACCCTGAAGAGGGGTGGAGGGCCGCCCAGAACCCCTAGGTTTCCGCCCGACACTTTTTGGTGGCTTTGCTCCAAAAGGAAGCAGCGCAATGAAGGGTTTGGGGTTTATATAAGGTTTAAGGTTTAGGGTTTATATAGGGTTTAGAGTTTATATAGGTTCATATAGGGTTGTATAGGGTTTAGGATTTATATAGGGCTTAAGGTTTAGGGTTTACAGTTTAGGGTTTACAATTTCGGGGCGGCACAGGTACTTCGGGTGGGCGGGGGGAAAGTGCGTCCCATTTTCCGCCGAGGGCGACGGCGGCGTCCAGTGCGGACTCCAGACTCCAAGGGGCCCAAGACAACCCGAAACCACAACCAACCGCCAAGCCTAACTACACCCCCTAAACCCTAAACCCTAAACCCTAAATCCTAAACCCTACACCCCTGAACCATAAACGTGGCCCTTCAAGGAGAGTGTGTGGGACGAGCTACCGCTTTCTCACCTGCGCGGGCCCATGGGTCCGCAGGTGCCTTTGTTCCAAAGGAGTCTGGGGTTTGGGGTTTAGGGTTTGGGGTTTAGGGTTTAGGGTCCGCCGACTCTGGCGGCGTGTTGGATGGGAAAAGGAGGTGAAAACCTCCCTCTTTCCCTCCTTCCCAAAAGGGGGGGGGGGTAGGGGGGGGTACCCCGCCAGCTTTTCCGTGGAGAACAGGCCACCCACACCGCGTAAACTCATGGACCATAGGCGTTTTCGCAGGGCATGGGGGCTCTTTTGGAAAAATCCCCTTTTTGGATCCCCCACCCCCCTACCCCCCGCCCTGCCCCCCCCCTACCCCCTAACCCCCCCCCCCACCCCACCCCCCCCCCACCACCCCCAACCGCCGCCCCCCCCCACCCCCCCCCCACCCCCCTCCCCCCCCCCCAACAGGAACCGCAAACAAAATCACCAAACCCCAAACCTTAAACTTGTTCTCCTGCGGGGTCGGCGGCTTGAGCCGGAGGCTCTTAAATTTGGGGTTTACGGTTTAGGGTTTAGGGTTTCGGGTTTCGGTCTTGGGGTTTAGGGTTTAGGGTTTAGGGTTTAGGGTTGTGGGTTTAGGGTTGTGGGTTTAGGGTTTAGGGTTTACGGTTTACGGTTTAGGGTTTAGGGTTTAGGGTTTAGGGTTTAGGGTTTAGGGTTTAGGGTTAGGGTTTAGGGTTTAGGGTTTAGGGTGTAGACTGTGCTATACCCTGTGTCAGCCACTAGTACGAGTAAGTGGTCATGCCTTCCTCCATGTGAAGGGGGTCGGGCGAAGAGTCCGCTCAGAAAGCTCTGAGGGAGGGGGAAACCCTAAACCCTAAACCCTAAACCCTAAACCCTAAACCCTAAACCCCTAAAACACCCAAACCCGACCTGAACGCCATAAACCCGAAGACCCCGAAACCCTAAACCCTAAAACCCTACACCCAAAATCCTAAAAAAAGACCTGGGCCCTAAACCCCTAAACCCCTAAAAGCCCTAAACCCAAACCAAAAGCCCTAAACCCTAAACCCTAAACGCTAAACCCTAAACCCTAAACCCTAAAAAGCCCTAAACCCTAGAACCCTAAAGGGCTTCGGGGGCCTAGGGCGACCGCGGGCCTTAAACCTAAACCCGAAACCCTAAGCCCTAAACCCTAAACCTTAAACCCTAAGCCCTAAACCCTAAACCCTAAACCCTAGCCCTAAACCCCAAACCCGAAAACCGAAACCCTAAACCCTAAACCCCCTAGAGCAACAGGAAGCCAAGTCGCCCCGCGTCAGTGGATAGTTCACCTCACACAGGGCCCCTCTGCGTGAAATGAGCACCGATCAGTTTAGGGTTTAGGGTTTGCGTTTTAGGGCTTGGGGTTTAGGGTTTAGAGTTTGGGGGGCTACTGACTTCTCCGATGCCCAAGGAAAAAGAAGCTCAGACTTGACTCTTCCGAAACAAGACCCTAAACCCTAAACCCTAAACCCTAAACCCTAAACCCTAAACCCTAAGGAAACTAAAAAAGTTTAATGTGCAACTCTTGGCTAAGTAAGTTTAGGGTTCAGGGCTTAAGGCTTGGGCTTTGCGGTTTAGGGCTTAGGGCTTAGGATTCAGGGCTCCTGAAGCCCGCAGAAGTCCCATCAGTGTTTGGGTTCTTGACCCTAAACCCTAAACCCTAAACCCTAAACTCTAAACCCTACACCCCTAAGTGGAGGTTTGCAAGGCTTAGGGCTTCTCGTAGAATGGCATGGAGGCTAAACCCTAAAACCCTTAAACCCTAAAACCCTAAACCCCTAAACCACTAAACCCCAAACCTCAGACCCCAAAAAAATACCTCAAGCCCCAAGACCCAAAAAAACTTCAAACCCTAAACCCTAAACCCTAAACCTTAAACCCTAAACCCTAAACCCTAAACCCTATTTAGGGCTTGAACCCTAAACTCTAAACCCCTATGCTGGCAGCCAGCAGGGCTTTGCGACCTGACCTGAGCCCTTGCTCTGCACTCTTACCCTAACCCTAAAGACGAAATCCTGCAAACCTTTAATGAAGTCATTGGGTGAAGCCCTTGTGGCTTAGGGATGTTTTGGATTCAGGGTCTAGGGTTTAGGGTTTAGGGATGGGGGGGTTTAGGGTTTAGGGTCTTATGCATAGACCAACTAAGCCCTAAGGCCGAAAAGGCGACGATCCCCCCTGGACCTCCTGAACTTCAAAGTCTGCCCAACCTTCAGAGGGTTTAGGGTTTAGGGTTTAGAGTTTAGAGTTTGGGGTTTGGGGTTTGGGGTTTGGGGTTTAGGGTTTAGGGTTCCCCAAACGTGCATAGAGTTCCTGGAGCTGAGAAACCAGGCCCTTTTGCGAACTGGACGCTTAGTCATCCTGGGTTCAACCCAATGGGTTAGGGCTTAGGGTTTAGGGTTTAGGGTTTAGGGTTTAGGGTTTAGGGTTTAGGGTTTAGGGTTTAGGGTTTAGGGTTTAGGGTTTAGGGTTTGGGGTTTGGGGTTTAGGGTTTAGGGTTTAGGGTTTGGGGTTTGGGGTTTGGGGTGTAGCCATGTGCGGACTGGGGGGCCTGGATGCCGAAAAAGTTCGAGGCCACCCACTTGAGGGAGCACCTGGAACAGATTGGCAGGGTTTTTAGGGTTTAGGGTTTTGGGTTTTTAGGGTTTAGGGTTTAGGGTTTAGGGTTTAGGGTTTAGGGTTTAGGGTTTAGGGTTTAGGGTTTAGGGTTTAGGGTTTAGGGTTTAGGGTTTAGGGTTAGGTTTAGGGTTTAGGGTTTAGGGTTTAGGGTTTAGGGTTTAGGGTTTAGGGTTTAGGGTTTAGGGTTTAGGGTTTAGGGTTTAGGGTTTAGGGGTTGGGGATGCTTTCGGTTTGTTCTTGGGGGTGGCGGGTGAGGGTTCCGGAGCTAGCACTTGGAGCAAATTGCGTGGTTAAGGCATGAGGGTATAGCACATCTTGCTTTAGCGCCACTAAACCCATCTACACCCGAAACCCTAAACCCTAAGCCTGCAAACCCTAAACCCTAGCCCTAAACCCTAAACCCTAAACCCTAAACCCCACAATGAACCTAACTGCGCCTGTCGATGTCCTCACGGACCTCGACTTGGCCCCGTCTCCCGGTGGCGATGTGCAGGGTGTCGCTTGCCTGGGAGAAAAACAGGTTTGGGGTTTGGGGTTTAGGGTTTAGGGTTTGGGGTTTAGGGTTTAGGGTTCAGGGTTCAGGGTTTAGGGTTCAGGGTTCAGGGTTCAGGGCACCCAAACCCCCCCCCCCCCCCCCCAAAAAAAAAAAAAAAAAAAACGGGGAATGATCAGTCCCAGATGCCCCGGAGAAGATGCTCCCAGGGAGGTGGTGGGAGCCCGGATAGTAGCGGCTGCTGTACTGGGACATCCTCGGCTTACCCAGAGACTCCAAACACCCCTGAAGTAAGGAATGGACCTTAGCTTCACAAACCCTAAACCCTAAACCCTAAACCCTCACATGATTTCAGGTATATTCCTTACTCAAGGGGTGTTGGAGTCTCTAGGCAGTTCTGACGTTGAGGGTTTATGGGGGTCTATGGGGGGTTTTAGAGTTTTTATGGGGGTGTATGGGGTTTAGGGTTTAGGGGTTGAGGGGTCGAGGGGTTCTAGGGTCGAGGGGTTGAGGGGTTGAGGGGTTGAGGGGCTGAGGAGTTGAGGGGTTGAGGGGTTGAGGGGTTGAGGGGTTGAGGGGTTGAGGGGTTGAGGGGTTGAGGGGTTGAGGGGTTGAGGGGTTGAGGGAGGGGTTGAGGGGTTGGGACGTTCCCCCTTGTGTAGGGATTAGAATCGGGGGGTGCTACAACCCCTATCATGGACCGTTAGTATAATAAGGGGGAAGGTTGAGGGGTTCAGGGGTCTAGACCCGGGAGTAACCTGGGAATAAACAGGGTACCCTTTTGGGTTTTAAGGGGATGATAAGGGAACCCCAGCCCTAAAAACAGGAAAACGAGGGCCTGCTCCCGGTCCTAGGGGTGCAGGGGTGCAGGGGTTCAGGGCGTTTACGACCAGGGGCGTGCTGCCGATCCTGTGCGAGAGCCCGAAATCCGCTAGGACCACGCCACTCGGACAGCCACTGGAATCCAACTCCTTGTAGAAGACATTGTCCTCAACTGCGCTTCTGCGGGCTTCAGCGCTTGGGGCTTCTAGGGTTTGGGGGTTTAGGGGCTAAGGGGCGTATAGGGCTTTGGGTTTAGGGCCCTAGGCCCTAAGCTTGACCGGCAAAAAAACGTTGGACAACAACACCCTAAACCCTAAACCCTAATCCCTAAACCCTAAAAACCCTAAAAACCCTAAAAACCCTAAAAACCCTAAAAACCCTAAAACCCTAAACCCTAAACCCTAAACCCTAAACCCTAAACCCTAAACCCTAAACCCTAAACCCTAAAACCCTAAACCCTAAACCCATCCCAGTTCGTTCCAAGTGTCAGGTTTGAAGTCGCCGTGGATGTAGCCTGCCTTGGCTTCAGGCTTAGAGTTCAGACTTTTTCATATTGAGGGTTTACTTAGGGCTTAGGGTCTAGAGTTTTAGGGTCCATGGCAAGGACAAAGATCCCGGGTTCTTACTAGGGAATGAGGGAATGAGGGGTACCTGATTCCCTCATTCCCTACTAAAAGCCAGCCAGATACCGGCGGCACCCGCACCCCCGACAGTTTTGAAGGACTTTCTGCTCAGTCAAAGTAGCCGAGTGCAGGCACTTCATGCCGCTCACCAGTTGCTCCACGACGCTCTGACCGCACCGGTTCCTTTAGGGCTTGGGGTTTAGGGTTTAGGGTTTCGGGCTTAGGGTTTTCCAGTGTTGAAACACAACCCTAAACCTGAAACCCTAAACCCTAAACCTCCCCTATGAACTCGCACGCTATATATAGCCCTCTAACCCCAGGGAGAAGTTCCCGAAACCCTGAAAGCCCTCAACCCTAAACCCTGAACATAGCCCGAAACCCTAAACCCCAATCCCATGTTGAAGGTTTACTACTATTTGCTTATTAGACTTAAAAAAACGAAACATATGAGTCCCTATATTGCCCTCATACGGAAGAATATGTCTTGTTTTTGAGGGGTTCTTAAGTAATTTGTAGTTGAGGATTGTAAACCCTAAACCTTAAACCCTAAACCCTAAACCCGAAACCCTAAACCCTAAACCCTAAACCCTAAACCCTAAACGGTGCGATCGTGCACTTCGGCAGGAAAAGGATGCTCCAGAGCAGCCGGGAAACTTCCTGCGGGCCGAAGATTGACGGAGCCACTTGTCCCTGGGTTAGGGTTTAGGGTTTAGGGTTTAGGGTTGAGGGTTGAGGGTTTAGGGTTTAGGGTTTGGGGTTTAGGGTTTAGGGCTTCGCAGTTTGGGTTGCACCGACTTGCAAGGTAATTTCTACTAAGCTGCAGGTAAACAGACTTGCACCTAAGTTCCTACCCCTGAAGCCGGGTTCCGGATTTACGGTACTTAGGGTACTTAAAGGGTATTTAGAGGGTACTTAAGGGGTACTTAAAGTTTACTTAAAGGGTACTTAAAATGTACATAAAGGGTACTGAAAGGGCACTAAAACCAAAAGGGTACTCAGGGTACTTCGGGTACTTCGGGTACTTCGGGGTACTTCGGGTACTTCGGGTACTTCGGGTACTTTGGGGTACTTCGCATACTTCGGGCTTAGGGTTTAGGATTTAGGGTTTAGGGTTTAGGGTTTGGGGTTTAGGGTTTAGGGTTTAGGGTTTAGGGTTTAGGGTTTAGGGTTTAGGGTTTAGGGTTTAGGGTTTAGGGTTTAGGGTTTAGGGCTTGAGTAACAGGTGCAGCCCAAGAAGCAAGTCTCCGGCCATCTCGGGAGCGACATAGGCCATACGGTTGACTCCTCTCAGAGAGGCCTACAGGCCCTCAAGACCCTAAACCCTAAACCCTAAACCCTAAACCCTAAACCCTAAACCCTAGACCCTAAACCCTAAACCCTAAACCCTAAACCCCGAACTATGGAACTACTACTTGCCTAGGAACCCCCCCAGAAATGAAAGATCATCATTCCTATATTGCCCTTACTGGGAAGAATATGTCCTATTTTGGGGGGGGGGGGTTCTTGAGCAATATTCCTCCTTATTGTGGTTTCTACAACAACCCCTAAACCCTAGACCCTAACCCGAAACTGCAAACAAAGAGATCGCCCTCTGCTACCCGCAAAGCGAAGAGCCTTAGACCCAGATCTTTCAAAACTCCTTCATTATGCCGAAAGTGTATACCAAGGATCATAATCATGAATGAGGGTACATTCCTTAATTGCGAGGTTTTGGAAGATCTGGGGACTGCTTGGGGTCTGCGCAGAGTGGAGGAATGACGGGAACCTATCGCAAGCCCCCAATACATAAGAAGGGTTCTGGGTTTAGGGTTTATAGGCCTCAGGGTTTCGGGCCAGGCTTTCGGGTTTTAGGGTGAACTTGGAACCCTAATTTTAGTGCACAAAACTTGAAATCATTCTCAAGAATCCCTAAGTCAGGTTTAGGGTTTAGGGTTTATGGTTTTTGGGGCAAAGTGTGGGGCGTTGGGCTCAGGGTGGGCCACTAGGGGGTCCTGGAAGACCAGGCCTTAATGGGACTCTACCATGGATCCTCAGGGTTGTAGCGTTGGGTTTGGGTTCCATAAACCCGAAATCCTAAACCCTGAACCCCGAAAACCCGAAGGCTGAACCCTAGATCCTTTTGAAAGCAAATCAGGGCCAACCCTGAACCCTAAACTCTAAACCCTGAACCCCGAACCCCAAGCCTGCACCCTAGATCCTTTTGAAAGAAAATCAGGGCCATACAAAGAGTATAATGTAGGGGTCCTAATAATTAGAACAGGGTTTTGGTGTGTTCTTTATAGTATAATTCTACAGGGACCCTAAAGGGGATGTTATTCGTACTTATTCCGACGCAATTAAACCCTAAACCCTAAGCCCTAAACCCCGAACCCCGAACCCCCCAGAAATACCCCAAGACCAATTAAGGGGGGAACCCTAAACCCTAAACCCTAAACCCTAAAACCCCAAGGGGAGTACCAGCTGCGGGTGGGAGTCTTCGTGCCTTGAAGATAAGCCCTGGACTCGGCATGGTTGCGAAGGGGTTAGGATGAGGGCTTGGGGTTTTGGGTTTAGGGTTTAGGGTTTAGGGTTTAGGGTTTAGGGCTTAGGGCTTGGGGTTTAGGGTTTTTGGGCTTCCCAACCGCCCATGTCTTCAGGGGCCCGTCCTTGTCCTTTGACGCACGGTGAGGCTTCGGTAAGTGTCATGACATGGTCGCCTTGGCGCCACTTGGTTTAGGGTTTAGGGTTTAGGGTTTAGGGTTTAGGGTTTAGGGTTTAGGGTTTAGGGTTTAGGGTTTAGGGTTTAGGGTTTAGGGTTTAGGGTCTAGGGTTTGGGGTTTAGGGTTTAGGGTTCAGGGTTCAGGGTTCAGGGTTTAGGGTTTAGGGTTTAGGGTCTAGGGTTTAGGGTTTAGGGTTTAGGGTTTAGGGTTTAGGGTTTAGGGTTTAGGGTTTAGGGCTACGGCTTGGCGCCACTTACTTGGTTCAGGGTTTATATAGGGTTTAGGCTGGGTAGATCAGAAGGACAATACACCAAATGGAATTTCGCGCCCAGCAAGCGGAGGGACTTCTTCTGCCTAATTTGCCCCTGAGACAGGCTGTAGTTGCCACAAGTAGTAAGGGTGAAAGCATAAGGGGTGCCCTTTTCTTAGGAAGCACCCATATGGGGGATAGACCATCGGCGGAGCTCTCTTTGTTTGGGGGGCAGGGTCGCACCACCTTGAACCGACCCTAAACACGCAGCCCTAAAGAAGAAAGCCTCAACCCGAATCCCGCCCCCCAAGCCCCTAACTAACAACAATCTAAGTGAAGTTGCATGGTGCAGTAATATGGCCCCATACCTTCTTTGTGGGCCCTTGGGTTTTACGGGGTGTATAAGGGGTATATCAGGGTTCACCACATACGGGCCGCATATCTTAGCTGTTGAGTACCCTTGCCCAAGAAAGCCCAAGTATATAACAATATGGTCTTAGGGTAAGCCCTAACCCTAAACCCTAGACCCTACAGAAGATATTTAGGCACCCTAAGAAACAACGGACCCCAGCGGCAGCGTTTCAACGCGGAGGCCTTCATGACGGCCACCTGGACTGCGCGTGCGATGGGTTTAGGGATTAGGGTTTAGGGTTTGGGGTTTAGGGTTTAGGGTTTAGGGTTCAGGGGTTTAGGGTTTAGGGTTTAGGGTTACGGCTTACACTAAGGGTCCAAGTACCACACAGTTATATACTTGGGCCCAAAAGTCCGTATAAGGCCCAAGTGTTCTATATATTTAGGTACATGGGCCATGAGGGTTCGGGTGTGTAGGGTTTTGGGGTCCAGAGTTTGGGTTTCGGAGTTTGACATTCCCTAAACCCTAAACCCTAAACCCTAGACCCTAAACCCTAAACCCTAAACCCTAAACCCTAAGATTCGTGCACAAGGGGCCTCGGGATCCTTGCACGGGTTTCCCCTACTTAAGGGGTATAAGGAGGGAATTCTAGAAGGGACTCTTAATCTTGTGCCCCTATATAGCCCCTGTAGATACCTACAAAATAGTCCCTCTATACCGAAGTAGCCCTAAACCCTAAACCCTCAACCCCAAACCCTAAACCCTAAACAACCTCCCAATAACTCCTAAGGTCCCTTAGGTTGGTCCCCCAAGCCCCTAAACCCTAAACCCCAAACCAAAAAAAAACCTAAACCCTAAACCCTAGAACCCTAAACCCTAAACCCTAAACCCTCACCGCGTGACAGCTGGAATAGGTCGTCACCCTGAGATCTGCGACTTTGCAGCCGGAGTGCGTTTAGGGTTTAGGGTTTGGGGTTTGGGGTTTGGAGTTTAGGGTTTAGGGTTTAGGGTTTAGGGTTTAGGGTTTGGGGTTTGGGGTTTAGGGTTTGAAGGTTAGGGGTTAGGGTTCAGGGTTTATACGGTTGAGGGTAAAACACTCCCAATATGGCCCCTCATATTCCCTTAGAGGATCTTTGGGGGTAGAGTCCCAGGAAACCGAAGGCACTAAAACGCTATGTTCCTGATGACAATTCCCGTAGAAATCCTTATACCAAACCTTTAACCCCAACTTTAAAACCTTACCCCGAAACACCCTCAACAAGAATCCTAAACTTAACCCTAAGCCCTAAAACCCTAGAGCACTAAGCCCTAATCCCTAAACCCTAGAAGCCCCGAGCCCTAAACCTTGAACCATAGAAGCCCTAAACCCTTTTCCCTAAACCAAAGCCTTAAACCCTAAGCCCTAGACCCTAATCCCTAGAAGCCAAAGGCCCTAAACCCTAAAAGCAGAACCCCTAAACCCTAAACCCAAAAGCCCTAAACCCTAAACCCAAAATCCCTAAACCCCAAACCCAAAAGCCCTAAGCAGCCCTAAACCCTAAGCCCAAAAGCCCCAAACCCTAGAAGCCCTAAACCCGAAACCCTAGACCCCACCTCGAGCTTGGCATCCTCCTCGGCATCCCAATCGAGCGGAATCTTGAGGGCAAAGGAGCCTCGACGACCTGCCAGGGCTTAGGGTTTAGGGTTTAGGGTTTAGGGTTTAGGGTTTAGGGTTTAGGGTTTAGGGTTTAGGGTTTAGGGTTTAGGGTTTAGGGTTTAGGGTTTTAGGGTTTAGGGTTTAGGGTTTAGGGTTCAGGGTCAGCTTCTTTGCGATGAGCCCGAAGCCCGAAATCCGACACCCGAAGCCGAGTCCAGGGTGCATTCGGAGAGCTTACGGGTTGCCAGGGCTCTTTGATCCCTCAGAGTTCGGGTGAATCTGACATAAACGGAGATACCCGGAAACACTTTAGGGTTTAGGGGTTTAAAGTCCTAGACGAACACCCGGCCCTAAAATCCCCTCCCCCAGTGTGGGGTGTGTGCCTTGAAAGCCAGCTAGATTCATTTGAGGGTTTAGACGGTTTAGGGTTTGGGCTTCATCCTCTTCGAGGAGGGCTTAGGACATATGGATGGATGGAGGGATAAGATGGAGGGATAGATGAGGG